GTAAAGTTACATCTGTGTGAACGCGATTTCAGGAAGGAAAATTATTTATCATCTATTTGGCCGTCTAATTGCTTTTGAACTCGATAAAAGATGGAGAATGAGGAACGGACAGCCTCAGCTTTCATATGACAAAATACTCCCTTTTTCCTCAGAAACCACTCAACCCACACCGCTATTTGCCATTTAGATAATCATTGGCGTCTTCTTGGTGTTAATGTTAATGGGTGTGCTTAGCTAATGTTAGGGAGGCACTGTGGAGTAATGGATAGCGGCTTGGATTGATGAATCGGAGAGCTGAGTTCGAAATCCAGTTGACTCCATTACCGATGCTAATACCCATGGGAAATGTATGAATCTTCTCCCACCAGCTATGAGTAAATAGCTGGATAGCCTGGGTCCTACCGCAGAAAGAAATGGCTACCTACTGTGGGAAAACTCTGCCTCGTCAGTCAGGAAAACTACAGGATCGCCTAAGCGTGTATCACACATACAGTTAGGAACCATGCGTGTTACAAATGGCACATAACTGACAGGTTGTGGTATAACTTTGCACTAATTTCATTCTTCATCAAAGGCTTTCAGATATAATTTATATATATATATCTTTGTCATGTTGTATTGATAATGTTATATTTATGAATATGTCCTGAAGATGGTTTTATTAGACCGAAACGTCAGACGTTGACATATTAACATTAAAACAGCATAAACGTATATAAGGATTTTTGTTTTGTTTTTTCAGTATATATTTTTCTTCATACTGTCGGATTATATCCATATATTTGCTTACATATATATCTATGTCAAATCTACTGAGGGTTAGAAACGAACATATGCGATGAGGTTTTCTGTAGTTTAATCAACCCAGTATTGTGCGCTCTCATTTATCTTGACTTCATTAGGTAGGTATTTGATTAATAATAAAATGTGCGCTTTAATTTACATAATCATTATTTTGTCGTCAACAATTTTCATTCGATTTGCTACGTTAATGAATGGACGATTGATATTCGGATTCCATGATCTCTTGAGGGAATGATTTTACCTTGAAAATTTCAAAACCGTAATCAAGACAATATTCTTGTACGATTATGGTAAACAGGTAAATATGACATTTCTAGAGAATACGCGTCATTGGAAACGAAATCTCACTTCTGGTCTCATACTGTTTTCTACATGGCACATGCTAATTGATGAATGACGAATTTATATATTAAAAATACCGGAATAAATTCTTGACAGAGAAAATTTATCTCAGTCGTTTATACAACCGGGAAAATATCCCAGCTTTAGTTTTATACGATAGCAATTCGTCCAAGACCCCGTTTTTCCTTTATGTCCCACTAAATAAAAGTAAGAAAGTTTTACTCTCGACTTTCATTTATCATGACAAATACTGTGAAAGGTACAGCCTTTTTTTCTTTAATCGAGATTTTCCAAGCATATATTTTTACAAAACATTTTGTCCATTTTTTAAATAATGATATTTATATGTCGAGAAGTAATTTAAATTGTGTGCTATATTCATTTCTCTATGTTCCTTATAGAATTTTGTCCTATTTTCTCCATTTTTACGGTGACTGATTTTCATATGAATTGTTATATAGCGGATTAACAATATGAACTGTAATATAACAGCTCTAAGTAGAATGAAATGAAGTTTTGTAACTAATTTAGATTTAGACCTGAAAACACATTATTCCTTGACAAATTAATCTTGACAATTTAGAAACTGACAACTACTAACCAAAAATATTAGCGGAAAATTTAATACTGTCAAAAACCATTTAGTTAGAGAACGGAGTACCGAAGTCGTTTTTATACAAATTTGGTGTATTCTTCATGTACCGTGTGCCGTCAGGACGTATATGTCAATGGATCTCTACAATTTTCTGCCCTTTGTTTCTCTTAGTAAATTTTCTCTTTTTGTTATTTCTCTCAAAATTTTAAAGTTTTTTTTTCTGTCTCTCTTATCATCAAACATCCCTGCGAGTATCAGATTTCCCGAACCCTCTTTTCACATTAGGTGTTCTAGAAATTTCAGCTGTCTCTTCCTGATGTTATGTTTAATTTTCGTTTCCATTTTATGTAGAACTTCGTCATTGCTCTTATTTAGAATGACACTTCTGTTGCTCCCACTCTCTTCTTCATATCCAATTCCATATAAGACGACAGATATCACAAAACAGTTCAGTACACTTTACTTAGTTTCTAACGAATGTTTCCTGATTCTCAGCACTTTAATGCAGAATGCATCTTTGGCTATCCTTGTGCGCCTTCGGATTTCAGTATCACACTCGCCGTCCTCTGATAAAATAATTTCCAAGATATTTAAAAATATTTAATTGCTTGATATTGGTATAAACTTATCGTTATTGGCGTTTTAGGACTATTCTTTTGCGGAATACCATAGATTTTTCTTCTTCTTGCAGTTGTAAGTCAATTATCAGAAACTTCCAAATATATTTCAATTAAATCTAAATTGATCATAAGCCTAAGTAATTTTACTCTTCAGAAGTTTAGTTGTTCCTATTTAAAATTATGCTAATTTAATATAACTTTCAAATTAGAGTAACTCGATTTTCCACGTAATATAATATTAAACATAAAACGTTTGTACAAGGCCACAAATAATGTATATATACATATATATATACATATGTATATATATATATATATATATATATATATATATATATATATATATATATATATTAGTGCAGTTATAAATTGTGTGAGTGTAATATCTTGTAAATATAATTAAATTCGTATTTTTCTGTTTTTATATGAACTTTTTTTAATCTTGAGTTACCGTCATTTTAATTCTCTTGAGTACTCGAACTGTTTCATACGTTTTTAATATTTTTTGAGTTTCAATAGCGATTTTCAAACTGTAGCGTAGATGTGGCAAAAGGCCAAAAAGTACGGGGCACCCAGTGAGGATTGAACTCACTACTCCTTTTTAAATGTTCTAGCGAGACAAGTTTGCTAACAATTACACCACCCCTTGGTGCGGTTTTCGACGTTCAATATTTTGAAATTTTTGAGTTTGTTTCAGATGTTTTATTTTTTTGGAGGTGGGGGGGTTAATAAGTGTTCATATACATTATTTCATCACATTTAGAAAACAAGATATGTGTATATAATAAATATTTTTATATAAATATGCTATTTTAAAATATTTAACTTCTAGGGTTCATCGAGAAAGATTGATTTAAATTAAATCAAAAGTGATAAATTAATCTATCAACGTTTAATTACTTTTCTTAGATGTTTTCTTTTATGTACCGTGTCGCTTCCTTCAGTATATTAATGATCTGTGCTCACCACAATTGCCTGTCCTTTGTCGATCTTAGTAATGTTTGTGCTTCTGCTATCTCTCCCAATCACTGTTCTGCCAACAATTTGCACAAGCGCATATTACGTTTGACACTCTTGCTGCAAATGTATCCTGTGAGTATCAAATTCACAAATCCATCTTTCCATTTCATCTGACCCAACTAACTCTTTCTGATTCTAAAGAAGTTTTTTTTTGTTTCCCTAAAACGGCGTTGCTTACATGTTCCCTCTGTGGTATTCTCAGTATCCCTCTCTAGAAATATATTTCTTTGGTCACAAGTCTCTTATTCATCTTTGAGGCGATTTTCTCGCATACATTGAATCATAAGAGAACCGATATGACCTAAGATTTCATTGCTCCTAATTGCATCTTTGTTTCTTAACGCTTATACTCATGGGGATAAGATAGCTATATTCTCTTAATAATGTGAATTTTAATTGCAATTACCGACAATCACATGTTTTATTGTTATTTTAGGCATATCTCTATAGTACATTATTTACAAAGCAATTTCTATACTAAAAATTTAGTATGATTCATTTGCAATTTCCGTAATATTTTCGTTTTTTTTCTAACGCTGTTTTCTTGTTTCTTAACATCTGCTTCTAATATAGATGTCATTAACATATTATTCAACAAGAAACAAGCATAACCTTTACGGGAATTTGATGATAATAAGGTAATAATTAATTGAATTACAAACACACGTAAAAATCTCATACTTGCGCGATGAAAGAGTTATTGTTTCATGTTAAAATAGTTTTTTGAATTATCCGTTGCTTAAATAAGTCAGCTGAGTACGTCTAATCGACATCACTGATTCAAATTATTTATAATGCAAGGATTACGAATGCGGGCATTTTGGTACATAGTTTATAGAAATCTAACCGGCTGGCAGTTTATTCTCTACTTAGTATCTGTTCTCATTTGTTTTATGCGTATTATATATCAACATGTATAATATGTACAATTTCTCGTGATATATATATATATATATATATATATATATATATATATATATATTATATATATATATAATTATGTACTAAGTTGGCTAATGGCGAAGGGAAAGTGTAATATAGCCCATGCTGAAAACTCACTTTCTTAAGTACATTAACTGCATCCTAATCAACGCTGTCAGGATCAGATTCTACTGGACATTTGCTTCCAGGATAATAGAGGCTTAGTAATTACGCATAATTTACAAGACATATTGTGTTGCATTTCTGACTCAAACTGTACGTTACATTGCCACACTCCAATTTCACAAGTGGTGCCTGCTAACGTCCGTGGAACACGTTTCATTAAATTACAGAGCCATCACAATATTGCACACCATTCTTTACAAAGCCAGATCAATCTCACTTGCGCTCCGTCTTCCCGAAGTTGCTGAAAGGGTGACTCATCCAAGAAAATTACAGGGTACCCAACTTATTTTGTACTTGTTTTTACCGGCCTCGTCGAGGCACAGTATCCAATGACGCAACATATCTTTAGACTGTAGGGGCTCAAAATCATCATTGGAAAATTTTAAAATGGAAGAAAGTTCACGCATTTCAGTAAATTCCATTCACATATCGATAGATAGATAGAACAGACATAGATAGAGCAGACATTGTTAGATAGATAGATAGAACAGACACAGATAGAACATACATTGTTAGATAGATAGATAGATAGTTAGAACAGACATAGATAGAACAGACATTGTTAGATAGATAGAGAGATAGTTAGAACAGACATAGATAGAACAGACATTGTTAGATAGATAGATAGATAGATAGATAGATCGAAGAGGCATTGTTAGATAGATAGATAGAAGAGGCATTGAAGATAGATAGATAGATAGATAGATAGATAGATAGATAGAACAGACATAGATAGAACATACATTGTTAGATAGATAGATAGATAGATAGATAGATAGATAGATAGATGGCACATTCGTGCGTGTGTGTATCGAAAAGTAATGCTCCTTTTAAAATACTTATAATTTATCTATTAGCTATAATTTTTAAAAGAAAAGGATATGAGAGGAACGTGCTTCGCATCGGTACTTCCACTCAGTTTTGATACCTTACTTTAAATTGAAATTTTAAAAAGGAAATCGCATTCTTGATGTTTTTTAGCTTTAATTGAAAGCTAAATGATTAAATTTACGATTCCCATTAAACAAAATAGAAATTATACTTATTAGAATACCAACTTTTTGATCGCTTTCAATAATCGTTTAAATTCAGCCATTTTAACACATTTGTAAACAAAAGTTTGTTCTCAATTTAAAATCTTGCAGAAATAAAATGTATTTTTCTAAAACTTTATTTGAGAAATATCAGCTGATTTAAAGTGTAATTAAACTTATCTACAAAAAAAGTAATACTTACTTTAATTTTAAAATAATAGAGAAATCGATTTTTTTAAAGAAACATTAGCGCGACTAATTTTATGTCAACACGTTGAGTAATTTACGTGGCGTTAACTTTTTTTTTGATTGTAAGGAGATCTCAGCTGTTAAAACTTAATTTAAGTAAATGAAAGGTGGACACTTTTATATAATTTTTAATTACTTAGTAATCTTAAAAATGTGGGAAAATCTTCTCCGTATTTTAATTTTAGGCATGTTGAATTTAAATTTACTATAGACATCGCTATTTTTTCTCATTATGTGGTATATTGCCAAAATATTTTCAAAAATGAGCATGTTACGTATACATTAAAAAAAAAATAAAAAAAAATATATTTTGTTTAAAAGACTTTTAATGAGCTTTTCAATTTTCGATTCGTAAATATAGTCTTCACTTAATAACAATATCAACTAACCGAATGGAAGTAAAGTAGAATTTTAAACGATTTATCATTTTATAAATTATTATAATTAAAATTTTAAAAATGAAAAAAATCTTGTAAAGATTCATTATTCATTATTCATCAAGTTTTTTTTTCCTTAAGAGAATAGTGTCTTTAATAAATGTTATTTATAAAAACAATTAAACGCTTCTCTATATAAATGATGTCATAGTTTTATTTCATTTTTTTTATTTAACGATTTGGAGCAGACTTTCGGGAAATGATTAGTAGTTTGAAAAAAAAAATGATTTAAATTTTCCAAGGGGTCCTGCTTTTAAATATTAAACAAATTTTTCTGTGGAAATTTGATTTCTCGAAAGTTCATGAAATTATGTAAATGCAGTAAAAAAAAAATTACCAAGGTTTTTCTAACAAAAGAAAATCAAAATTAATGTCATTTACTTGTGAATAAGTCCTGAAAGTTTCATTAAAATCTGACAATTATTTTAGTCTTGCAAGAATGTCCAAATAGATGTGTGTTTCACTGGAAAAAAAGCGCAAAAACACAATTCGTAACAAGATATTTAACAAAAATTTCGAATGTGTTAGAAATGTGTAAACATTTTTAAAAAAGTAATTAAGAAATACTTTGTTCTTTTCTTTTAATAATAACAAACACTTTGAAGCTAAAATTTTGTTGTTTTTTTTTATTAAGTTTGTGGTCTTTTTATTATGCTATGGCGTTTTTTCAGCGAAAAGTGGAGGTTTAGCATGAGGTTTTATTTCAAATTTGATATGAGCACCATATTTCGCTATCTGCTTTTCGAATCGCCCAGGAATCGCGCCAGTTGAGTTCACCAGGAACTCTTATGGTATGGAAGATATAACTTCTATTCACCCTCCTTTTCTTTAAATTTGGGCTCCGTTAACCAACCCCAAAGAAAAAAAAAATCACAGTGTTAAGTCAGGACTCCTGCCTGGACACTCATACATAAATATGGAGTTACTTTTCAATCACCCTGTATATATGTATCAAAGGTATAGACGCATGAATAAGAATAATAATCAACATAAATGCATTTTATATTATTGAAATGCATGAGGAATAAATTCATGGAGAATTGTGCTTCCGGTTAGAGGAATTAGATACTATGTTGATAGATATGAAAATAATGAGATAACGAATGTTATGAGGAGCCAAAATTATATTTTTAATGTGATAGATAGATAGATAGATAGATATATAGATAGATAGATAGATAGATAGATAGATAGATAGATAGATAGATAGAGCGAGATGAGAGTTAAACGAAAGATTCGTGTTGTTAACTGCTGCTAAGAAAATTAGTTAAAACCTTAAAGTTAGCAAATATTTATTTCTTATACTTGCCGTCACTACATGACAAGTGATCGAGAAAACGAAGCACATTCCTTACATAATTAGGCCCACGTCCCAGCGCTAAGCGCAACGATAGTGACTTATTTTTCTCCCTTTTAAACCGGTGCTTCTCCTTGATTGAATTAACAACGAGTAAAATATAGCCATGTCCCACACATGCACACTCTCTTTCACCCCCTCACACACCCCGGAAAATAGACAGAGAGAGAGACAGAGAGAGAGACAGTGAGTTGGGGGCACGTTCTATCGGCAGAACTATCGATCGGTGCTTACTGTTCGAAGACCGGCCTATAGCATGGCGATTGCTAGTTTATTCAAACACAGAGTTTTTAGTTAAGAAATATTGCAAGGTTGTTTCGTATAAACAGTGTTTGACTTTCCAAGGCCATTCTTGTGCCACACACGAAGCGATTTCTCTTAGTTAAAATACAAAAGTTCAGAAAAATTATCTTCCCTCTCAAGTAGATTAATGGGCTTTCTATGCCGGAGTGATCATTAAGAATACAATCACGCAGGTTGTTGTAAGTGAATTTTATTACCAAAGAAAATCTAACTGTTGTGTTTTTACTACCACATTAATATAGGCTGAGCAAGTATCCTTAAAGGTTACTTCCGATTTGAATCTTGAAATTAAGGAGATAACCAGAACAACGTAATAAAAAAGAAAAGAAAAGAATGTATATTTTAAATTACAGAAAATAAAACATAGGAACATAAAGTAAAAGTGTATCCGACATATTATCTCACAGATCAAACTTTAAAGGTTTAATGAATAATTTCTTCCACGTTAAGGATTAAGGGGATTAAAAAAAACGTGACGGTTAAATCATGAACAATATGATCAAGAAGAATTAACGTTAACTTAGATTTAGAAACTGTCTATATTTCTGAGATGAGGTATTATGTACAGTATTTACATTAGTCGGACTATTTTTCTCATCTTTGTCGCCATATTTGTCACAACGTTTCTACTAATGTAAATACTGTAGGTTTAGAAACTTTGAAAGAATCTATCTTAGTTTTAATTATGTGTTTGAACTGTTTAAAAAAAAGAGCTTTGCCGAGAAATCGCTGAAATTCATGTCCTATTTAAAGAAATTTAATAGTGAGAAACAGGTTACATGCATTTCTATATGGCATTTATTGACCAAAGTGTAAGTGTTACTGTTGACTTAAATATATGGCAATTTTTCCTTAAAACAGGTTCTTATTAACGCCCTCATGTTCACTGATTGCTATTGTAATTTTCTACTATAAAGGAGAGTTTGAAATTGTGGGAAAAATTAATAGCTTATTAATATGATTATTGCAATTTTGGTATAAGTTTTGTGGCATGATTAAATGATAATAATTATTTTAATTAATTATAATTATCTTATATTTGCTGTTAGACTTATTTAGCCATCTATCTTTTGTCATGACAAAAATATAAACAATATCTATTGAAGAAAATACATTGTAATTATATATATATATATGTTTAAAGAAATCTTTTTATTTGAAGGTCGTTAGAAATGGACAGGATATCTCCTGTCTGTTTATCTGTATCACACTGAACAGAATGGCGGCTGAGTTGGTTGACAGTAGATAATTACTAAACTTAAAAATTAGAAATGCACTTGTAGGTCTCTTTTAAACGATAACATTCACTGGTTTTATTATTGAACGGTGTTTTCCATATTAAATTAAGCATCAGAAGCGACGCAAAAGAGCACAAATATCAAAAATACAAAACCATCCTTACATACGGAATAAGGAACATGTACACGTCCCTGGTACACTTGACAATGAACAAACGATTTACAATCATTAATTCTTCTGCGAGACAGAAGTAACTATTGGATAATTATAGACATGAATAATTTTATTAAGCTTTGTTCAAACCGCTTTGCGGCTAGAACATGCATTGACTTTTGAACATTTTAAAATAGGAAAGATAATAGACGACTAAAGATAATAAGATATTTATTAAGTTGAGATCAGGCAGGATTCACATTAGTTACTTGTACTGACCTTATATTTTGTCTTTTATCACTTTCCCAGAGCCATGACGTAGCTTCCACGTATATCTTAAAGACGATTGTTTGATGGTATCTACCTCTTTAGTATCTCGAATTTAATCGTAGTACAGGACTGGTAGGTTGTTCTCATTATTTTATTGTTGAAATTGCTATACAAAATACTAATGGTTTCTTACTTCGTCTTCCAGATTCTTGCATTCCTGCCAAATACATTCTTCAAAAATTCAAGTGAAACGTCAATCGTCAAATCGCCTGCTATTTTTATTGAATTTTCTCTACAACATCGTTTACCGAATTTTTCTTCCCTTTTTTTAATTCCTGATGTGTTAGTGTCTCTCTCGACTTTCTATTCTTGTAATGATTGAAAACAAAATATCGCAATTGTATGGCATCCGTTCAGATTTGAACTCATTACATGATACATCGTGCTATATGTAGTTCAAAAAATATTTGAATTATTTGGGTGTTTATTGGACTAAACTTATAAAATTAGGCAGTTCACTAAAGATAGAATAGCCTCTACTGCAGTTGATGCCTACATAACATACTAAGCTTTGCCGATTCTATCAAGCAGTCAAATGTATTGAAAAAATATTAATATAGGAAACAACTATGTTCGTAAAATGGCATGGGAAACAATTTTAAGATATTTTACGCTCCACCATGAAACAAATGTCACATTTTCAGCATTCTGTTACAAGGTCACTCATTTTATTAAGCTTTGTGTGGTCTAACATTTACAGGATTGTACAAACCAATAAATGACGAAATGATCCTACTATCAAAATTCTTGACAATCTTCACGCTAAACTAGAGATACATTTGACTATTAAAAACAAAAGGTACTGTAAGATTCGACTCTCATGAAGGATTCGTTTTAAGAATATTAAAAAAAAGATAAATCGAAAGAGAAAACCCAATAAATAAATAATAAATTATTAATTTTTACGGCTTATCAAACGTTTTTGGGTTACTTAAACCGAAAAATATTTTAGATTTTAAGAATAATTCTATATTTTTGCGAGTAAATATTGCATTAAAATTCTTTATAATAACACTGATTCTTATCCCGATTCACTCTTAAACTATAGCTGGAAGGGGTGATGCCTTCAGGCATTCCCAATGGTTATTTGCACTGTGAATATAGCTAACCTGTCTGGTATATGAATTCAGCTCTCATTCCAAGCAACTACAGATTACACCACCGTATATCGATATAGAATTAAAAACAATACCATAATTTATCATTCCTTATATAACATTTACATTAGGTACCTCCACTAATTCAGTATGCGTAAGGTTTAAAATGAATTTTAAAAATGAAAAAGCTTCTTGAAGCTTTCATTTTAGTTTTACTTGAAATCTAAAGGATTTAAAATTTACTATTTCCAGTAAGCAGAAGACTCTGTTGTGTATTTCAAACAGAGCTTATACTGATCGGAATCGATTTCTTTTTCAGTAAGATTATTCAAACGGCCATTTTTGACACATTTTTAAACAAAGGTAATTCTCGGGCTTAAAAATCTTGCAAAAATAAAATATATATTTCTTAACGATATTAAGAAAATAGAAAAATAGAAAATTTAAAGTTAAATTAATCTGATTCAGAACAAATATTACTTATATCATAAAAAGGTTTTATACAAACATTTCTAATTTTGCACATTAACACACATGCAAAACAAACCTAAATTCTTGTAAAAATATTCGGCGGTGTCATTTTGAAATAAGCGTTACAATATATGACTGTTATTTTAGGGTCGTGCTTGTCTATTACCTATTTCTTTCGTGTTTTATGTCTATGTGTATATGTATCATAATCTGATTGTCTATGTATTGTCTTTTGTAATATTTCCTCCTCCGCTGCCCACATAACTGCTTCAATTCTATATAAGTATTAACGAAGTTTTACATTCCCTTTAGATTGACGTTTAAGCTTACTGAGATTTTGGCCTTTTAACTAAAACAATATAAATAATAACATATGATTATATTTCCTCAGTTTTTTCTTTAAATAATTTTGTAATATTTTAAACTTAATACATATCAGATTTAGCATTTAAAATTGGCAATTTTTAATTTTCAGGTTTATTGTAAAATTCAGTATTAATTAAAACGATTTCTATATTAGTTTAACCCTAACATTAAGACATTAATAATTATATCCAATGTTCGTTGTCAAGTTTTATGCATATACTTGTATTTTGATTGGTCATTGCAGCTTATGCAAAAACGTTTCCCCTATTGGCGGGAGTCCCGTCGATTTGAACCTTTTAAAACTCTTTATTCTATATTCAACACAATCACTTGATAGGACACGAAGTGATGAAACAAAATGGCTATTTTTGTAGTGATTTTATAACATATTTTCGAATGCATTATATATATATATATATATATATATATATATATATATATATATATATATATATAAGGAAGAGCGAGAGGAGAAGCATAGAGAAATAGAGAAGACTTCTTTACCTATGAAACACCCCCACGAAAAAATTTCCTCTCTTTCATGGATTTATAAAATCCAAAAATTCTCCTTGATATAGAGCATTCTATATATTTAATTTATATATATATATATATATATATATATATATATATATATATATATATATATATATATATATATATAATTTTGCTGTATTTATAGGTAAAATATTCAATACACAGAACAGATTGCAGATTGAGTTGATCACCGAAAATTTGACACTATGTTTTATGCTTGAGCACAATTTTCAGGTCATAAAGATAATATTATGTATTTATATTTATGACTTCATCCCCAAGAAAGGCGGTAATGACAGTTGTACGCAGAGGCTTACAGGGATTAAATGTGAATGAGACGATAGAGGATGGATGGAGGAAAGGAGAAAATGAGCGAGGTTCAAGAAGACAGAAGATAGAGAGTGACGAGTTTAATGAGTTTAAAACAAACATAATTATAATATTCATTAAACTCAAAGGCAAAACCCGCATCAAGCATACGCCATAGGTTATTCT